GATTAAATGGCAGAATCGTCCGTTATTGCAGCTTTACAGAACTGAGGAGGTGGGCGGTGTGGAGAGGCGTCGAAGAGGGACACGGGATTAGAGACTCAACTATGAGAACCTCACAGCCACCCCAGACACCAGCAGCTGGACGCTTCAAAAGAAGTGGCCCCAAAGGGTATTTCCAGGGCGCATCCTTGTCTGGCTAATTTTTTTTAATTGAGCAAAGGATCATTTTATGCCAGGACTCCTCTGTTGTCTGCCTATTCGCTCACTGAAAGCTCACCTTGACTGTCAACAATGCTCTTCCACCGGAGGAGGAGAAGCTGCATTATTGATGACATTGTGGAGCGGTATTTAAAGACATGGAAAGAGGTTCATAATTAATGGTGCGATGCCCAAAAAGCAGCTTGCAAACAGGCTATGCAGCGCAAGTTTTTGTCCTCATGCACGTACGCGTGTGGGAATCTGAAGGATGACGGGAACAGATTCTCCACACCGCTGAGGAAACTTCTCTTGCTGCTGCTGGACCGTTGACTGACACTTATGTGTTGTGGACTCTAAAACCTAAATACGTTCCTTGGCACGTCTGCAAAAAGTTTTCTTTTTATAACAAGAATAACGAATAGTATTTTACAGGGGGAAAATGGTTCTCCTTGAGAGAGGGGGGAGAGAGAGAGATGGAGAGGGGAGAGAGGGAGAGAGAGAGAGGGAGGGGGAGGGGAGAGGTAGGGGGAGATGGAGGGGGAGAGAGGGGAAGGGGGAGAGGAAGAAAGAGGGGGGAGAGAAGGAGAGAGAGACCATTGTGTTTTTCCAGGCCTGTTCCATTGGATGTGGCAGTATGTGTTTGCCTAGGATGCCAGAACAGTGAGAGTGAGGCAAAGGCAGAAGGTCACAAATTCAAGGTCAGCCTGAGCTTACAAATCACAAAATACCAGCCCCAGTCTGGTGTGTAAAGCGGTTTCCCCGAGACCCCTGTTTCGAGTGAGCACTTACATTTAATTTCCTAACTTTTGGGTTGACATCTTATTTTCAATAGTCTCCCGATACAACTAATTTCCCAAATTAACACTTTCTCCTTTGTCAAATGCCACCCTTCCACCGGAACTGTAGTTTCTGACTCTTCTTCTCCACCTCCACTGGCAGAAACCTCAGATGAACTTGGGAGTTCTTATCCAGATGGGGGAGAGATGGGCCCTGTACCCTGCAGGCTGGCATGGAAACAGTCTTTTTTTTTTTTTTTTCCCACTGTTAAGAGGAAATGCCGTAAAGTGGGTTTACTCTTCACTCATAAAATCCATCAGAGCTCCGGGGGGCAGGGAAGCTTCTACAGAGATGCAAATGCAAAGCTAGCCCAGCCACCGACCACAAAGAGGAGGAAGTGCAGTAATGTGTTCAGGCTGCTGGTCTCCACGGAGACACCACTGAGCAAGTTTCAAGTCTCTATGATTATTTATCAGCTAAATCGCCGGTTACTTTACTACTGTAGAGGAGCCAGGAAAGTCATGGATACCACTTGTTCTGACTTCAGGGGTTACCGTCCATACTTTAATACATGTCTCGGGGCACGTTGTGATCAGGGCTACCACAAAATGAGACTAGGAAATCAAAGAGGAAGGGTTAATCAACCCTTGCTTGCTTAGAAGGCCTAAAGACTGAATTGCCTGTCTGGAGAGACCAAGAGGCTCTCTGTCATCACCCTGGCTAGCGAGGACAGCTGGCTGTCACCCTTCACACCCTTCCAGCTCTGCAGGTTATAGACTGTCACGCGAAGATTGCCAAACTTGGAACAGGGGACTTAAGAATACATTTACTTTTAGGAAGGAGGACCTCCACCTGATGTATCTAGTATATACGCACAGAATCACAACTGAAGCCCTAGACACAGACAGAGTTTCTTGGAGGGAAAAGAACATGCTGAAGCTGACCGACTTGAGACAGACCAGCTCCCCGGCTCTGTGACTCACATCTACCAGGAAATGGCAGGAAAATGACTTGAGCGCATGCATATATTTTGGTCTTAAGAAGACTAGATTCAGTAACATAAAATAACGCCTTTAGGTGGGAACTGACGTGACAGATCTTTTGAAACTTCAGGGCCCACTTAAAATCTCACAAAGGGCAATGGCCAGGATGTCAGTGAGGAAATTATACTTCCGGCAAAGCTATACTGTCACGCGCTGAGGTTGTATTGTGATTTTGTCTGAACTCGGTGTGTGTGTGTGTGTGTAAGAGAAAGAGAGGGAGGAAGGGAGGGAGAGAGAATTTCATCTGAGTAATACAGTAACTACAGAGGTTAAGGATTAAAGGCTTAGAAAGAAACAAGAAAGCATACATTCCCTAAGGACCTTCCAATACATTATCTCACTCAAGTGTTAGAAATAATCCCAGAGCTGGGCATTGTTGTTTCTACTCTACAGAGACGGATAATCGCATCTTTATTTGCGCCAGGTTACAATCAGGGTAGAACCGGGTGCTGCCCAGGAAGAGAGGAAGAATGGCCAGAGCTGTTACCTAAGCCTGCATTTCAATTCTCTGAGGAACAACTCCATCTACAATGAGTCAGCGTGAGAACTTTCTGGAACTGCTAAGGGGAAGTAGACATGCCAGGGCAGACAACCCCCACGACTCTACAGCAACCGTCTGTGTGTTACCTCTCAGTCGAACCACCACGCCACCCCCTCCTGATGTCTACAGATAAGCCAACTGAGCCCTGACATGCAGACAGCAGTGGCTCCGCGGACCCCAGAGTTTGTTGGTGACCAAGCAGAACTGGACCCGGGAGTTCTAACGTCCCACCTTCTGCGTGCCTCATTGTGTCACTGCCTAATTGCAGATAGTGGTGACAGACACAGCTGCAACAGCCATAGCGGTGGCCAGCAGAAAAAGCAGGGCCAATGAGCAGCGTGTCTTATGCAAAAGACTTCAGCAAGCCCCCAGTACGAGGCAGATGAGGAAGAGGGTGGTAAGGAACTATCTTTCCCTGCTCAACAGGTTCCAGGGGTTAAGTGTGGACAGCTATACCTATAATTATTTTATCAGCCTTAGCAGCTTCGCAGAAAAAGATTCAATAGCCATGTGGCACACAGTTGATCTGAAGCTTCCTGCGTTCCCTAGGCTAATCCGTAAGTTTCTCAGAAAGTGGAAAACCTTATCAAGATAGAAGAAATCTGTTTTTAAAAGACAAATATGCATTAAGGGGAGGTGGGGAGCCTCGTTGCCCAAGCACAAGGAAAATGTAATAAAACAAGCAAGTTCTTTAAGTGATGAAAGTCACGGTCACCCGATTTAGGGGATCCAATTGACAAGATACTAATTAAGTCTGGGCTGCAGAATGGCCACGTACGGTTTGTGATACACACAGGTACACGAGGCATTTAAGCAAGCCCCTGAGTTGTCTCCTTTTAACCCCCCTACATGCCTTTCTGCCCAAGCCCTACCTGCCAGCCCTGTGTACTGATTGCTAGCCTCACTAAAGCAATGCTTTTCCACGCCAACGAGGTGTATGGCAGCGTGGAGAGCCGGCTGCAGGGCATTCAAAAGGAACACCAGCACAGAGACCATATATATACCAGAGAGGGAGAGCGTCCCCACGAGACTGACTCCTCCCCACCCATTGCAGTGTTTCTAGGGAAGTCCTTCTCAACCGTTTATAACACACCCTTCATTCTAGAGCTTTGGACCCGTTAGCTTGTACCAAGGTGACAGAAGCTAGAGTCATTTTAGATGTCACTTAAGGAAATGCCCTGACCACACTGCCTGTGGGCAAGACTCTGGCACATTTAAAATCATCATCAACAACAACAACAAAAACAACGACGATTGGTATGGAAGGGGACAACTCACGGTGGTGGTGCCACACCTGGGTTGGTGGTCCTGGGGGCTATAAGCAAGCAGGACGAACAAGCCGTGGGAAGCAAGCCCGTAAGCGGCTCCCCTCCATGGCCTCTGCACCAGTTCCTGCCTTGAGTTCCTGCCCTGGATCCCCTTGGGTAATGGACTATAAGTTGCACGGTGAAATAAATCCTTTCCTCCCCAATTTGCTTTTGGTCACGATGGTTTTGTTGCTGTTTTTTTTCTAATTTTTAAGTATTTTTTGAGATTATAATATAATTACGTCCTGTCCCCTTTCCCTTTTTACCCTTCAAATCCGCCATGTGCGTGTCCTAGGTCTCTTTCAAATTTATGGTCTCTTTGCGTGTGTGTGTGTGTGTGTGTGTGTGTGTGTGTGTGTGTATGTGTGTGTATTCCTAAAAACATGAATACAACCTATGCCCGTCTATATGATGCTATTTGTAGGCATGTTGTCAAGGCTGACCATTTGGTACTGGACAATGAACTGGCGAGCTCTTCCCTGGGGAAGACAATTTCTGCCACTTTCAGCACTCCTTGACTGCCTGTCATTCTCTGTCTATGGTTGTGGCCTCCTGCACCTTCCTCCATCCACGAGAGCATATCTGCTAGTGTTATCACTGTTGAAAACCAGAAGCACTGTCTTCCGAGTCCTGCAAGACCGCGATGGCCAATGAAAACCAAGAGGCCTAGCAAAAGTGTCTGCCATAGTTGAAGGAGAAAGAAAAACTTCCCACGATAAAAATAGCTTAAAATTTGCACACCCAACGAACCAAAGCTAAAGAAAAGCTAGCTAGTGGTCATGGTGTTTCATTACAGCAGTAGATACTTCAACTCGGGCAGACGGTGCCTAACTAAAGCTAGTAAATCTTCTGCCTTTGCTGTGTTTTATATTGTGGTACACAGATGCGTGTATCTTACACAGGGTATCTTGTCTCCCCCCACTAAAGAATTTCATCTTTCAAGCTTTCCAGCCTTCACATGGAACAGCAATTGATCCATACACACGTATATTCATTCATTCGTATAAATAAGAACATATATATATATATATATATATATATATATATATATATATATGAATATACTATAAAATGGAGATTAAGCTGAGGTTTCCTTGCACTGTGTCGGAAGGAAAAGAAGGCTATTTTCTACCTTACCTGGGAAGAGCGGTGATTTTCCCCCATTTCTCTACACAGAACCTTCTTGGGCCATTACTCCCTCGGAGAGAAGCGAATCCTTCATAGGGTATGCTCGAGGTGCCTGTAACGAACTGTCAGTCACAGAAACAGAGGAGAAAGGAGAAGTCAGAAACCTCAATATGGACAGGAGCTCCATTATGGCTGCGTCACACTCCCGAGTGGGAGGCACAAGCTGGGAACTTCCGAAGTCAAAGTTTCTTCAACATGGGACAACTAAAACTGAGTCTGACAATTGCTCAGCCACACAGAGAAAAGGGCAGTCGATTATACCTGGGAATGAGATGCAAAACATTTATAGAAGATGAAGCATTCTGTGCAGTTTAAGCCAGGGACATGTCCCATGACAGATGAACGACATGGGTCTACTAATTAACCTAAACCTACTTAGCATCAGCCCATCATCAATTCAGCATGACTTTTAGGAATTTTGTGGGCTGCAAATCTGAGTTCCCGTCCTTTAATCCAGAGGCACTAACGAGCCAACATGTAAGGCTGTGCCTTAGTGTCTAAGAGGCTTCCTTGTGTCTAGTACTTGAGTGGTTCCTGACCAGCATTGTCCCGGATGGGAGCTTTTCCAGATGCCACAGAACACAATGACATATTCCCCGAAATGACCTTGCTCTGGAGATTACGGAAAGTCAAGTGAGGGGAAAGGACTGTATCAACAAACGGGGTCCTTCCTTACAGTATTGAACATCAACTCTTTTTCCAAGAAGCGTGTTGACTGCAGGAGGCCACTGGCTGTCAACCACAAGGCCCCAACTGTCCTGAGGGCATATGCCAATCCTGGGTTCCTCAGACCAGCACTGGCACTTCCACACGACCCTCAAGAAGGGCTTTGACCTGGCTGCTGACGCAGTCCGTGGACACGCGGTCAGAAGGGTACGGAAATGTCTTTGCCAGAGAAACAAGGTTTGTATCTATGAGGGATACACACTTCCAACAATATGTAATTATGTTAAAAACTGATGAATTAATGGCCTCTTACCTGTAACAACCTTAGTCGCTGCTCATTGTTGAATCGTTCTACGGCAGCCCAGAACCACCGAATTACGATGTGATTGTCGTGGTACCCTAGAATTCACCACGAAAGCACGTGTTACTTTGACTCTCCCATCTTAAACTACCAAGAAGCATGACAAAGGCCCACAACGCCTTACACACAAGTTAAATGCTGTTTGTAGTGCAAGATTAGGGAGCAACTTTATCGATGCGATCATATGGGAATCAAGAGATAAATAAGAGCACACATGAACCCAACGGGCTTCCGTTTTCATTTAGCAGTGAGAAGAACCACAAGGGGGTTATTTGAGCTCCATTTCTGAAAAATACAATTGTTATGATGAGAAATGCTTAACTCTTTCTGCTATTTCTATAAGAAATAACTTCTAAATACCACTACGCCAAGCACTAGACTAAGCTAGGGGGTCTACTGACAAAGAAAACAGACCCTCGCAGGACTTCCTGCTGAAAGAGAAACACATCAATCACACAATTGTTACTAAGAAGGATAGAAACTTTCTTGCAGCTGCCTATTTCCATTCCAAGTACACCCCTAAAAGCCATATATCCTATGCATAGTTCATAATAAAACCAAATTGTTGAGACCGGGCATGTAGCTCAATGGCAAAGCACTTTCCTAGGAAGGGCAGGACTTTGGGTTCAATCCCCAGCAACACCAAAAGAATTAACATAGAAATAAAGCCAAATGATTTTGCCCTATTTATTAATAAACAGGAGAAAGATCTTTCATTTCTTCAACGAATTATCTCAGTTTTACTCTTGGTTCCTACTTTAGAAGAATTTAACGAAATGTCACAAATACCTTATATTTTTGTAGGAAATGTCAATATTCTCTCACATAAAATGCCAATACTATCTCACAGATCTGGGTGAAAGCAGTGCTTGTGAGTGTTCTAACTTCTCAGCCTTTGTTGAGATAGTCCAGCTCAAAGGGAAGGCTGACATTAGTGATTCAAAGCAAGTGGTAGTCATGTTTTACGAAAGCTACTTTATTTAATTCTGAGCTGTACGTCCAAAACGAAGGTGAGCAGAAATTAACCTTCATCTGAATGCATCCTCAAGGCCCCATGGTTGTAAAGGGTACCAGGAAGTCTCACTTTACTGGTTGCCATTTCATTAAGGATGCCTGTTTCCCTTAGAGAAGAGAGAGTCTCGGCGGAGGGTAAACAGCATTCGATCGGGCGTGGCAGCCGGGTGCAGTCTTTGGAGAGACTTTGCTAGTGAGACTGATCAGTGCCTGCGTTAGCCGTCTGGGGCACTGATGCTTCCCGTCCTTTCGAGCTAACCCTTCACTGTTTGTGCTAAGCCTATTTTGAAAGGAGAACGACATTGTCCACAAACAGCTGCTGCAGAAACAGATGCTAAGCGACAGCCTAACTCTTTTTTTTTTTTTTTTTAATGCAGTGCCGATTAGCTGCCCGGGGCAAACCATGGCAGCTCAGTATCTTGTCCTTTATCTGGTCTCTTCTAAAGCCTCATTTTGGAAGAGTTACCACTAAAGTAGGTCCTTGATTTACTCGCATAAAACAAGTAAAAGAATCTTAGACTGTGTACATACAAAAGTGGCTAATTTGATGGCTGTATTCTATTAGAACCTCCTGGGAACGTGAAACAAGGAAATCATATTTACCACAAAATTTAAGTTAGGTGGGATATCAGAGAAATTACATTTTAATTAGAAAAAAAAACAATTCAGCTAGCAAAGACATCTATAATAACCAACATCATAGAGGGATGCTACATGGGTCCAGCCAGGGGAAACTGACTGCACGGTCTGACTTCAGAAAGAGCACTTGTGGAACCCTCAATTCAACAGGACCATTCCGAGAAAACCCTAACACTACCGCACATCCCAGAAAAGGCATACTTTCTTTGTTTGAAATTCTTTGACAGAACTCTGGGCTGCCTTTAGGTTTTTAATAAGGAAGGGACAAACCCAATCACAAAGGTCCAAATGACTAGCCAGAGCTGTATGCTGATCTACAGAGAGCCACTTCCGAAGAG